CAGACGGACACGGGGACAGACGGACACGGGGGGGACAGATGGACACGGGGGGACACAGGGGGACAGACGGACACAGGGACAGAGGGACACGGAGGGACAGAGGGACACAGAGGGACACGGGGGGGACAGGGACACGGGGGGACAGATGGACACGGGGGGACACAGAGGAGACAGATGGACACGGGGGGACACAACGGGTACAGGAATGGGACACAGGGGGACAGACGGACACAGGGGGACACGGGGGGGACAGAGGGACACGGGGGGACACGGGGGGACAGAGGGACACGGGGGGACACAGGGGGACAGACGGACACAGGGGGACCCGGGGGGGACAGATGGTCACAGGGGGACACCGGCGGACAGACAGACACGAGGGGACAGAGGGACACGGGGGGACACAGGGGGACAGACGGACACAGGGGGACCCGGGGGGGACAGATGGTCACAGGGGGACACCGGCGGACAGACAGACACGAGGGGACAGAGGGACACGGGGGGACACAGGGGGACAGACGGACACAGGGGGACCCGGGGGGGACAGATGGTCACAGGGGGACACCGGCGGACAGACAGACACGAGGGGACAGAGGGACACGGGGGGACACAGGGGGACAGACGGACACAGGGGGACCCGGGGGGGACAGATGGTCACAGGGGGACACCGGCGGACAGACAGACACGAGGGGACAGAGGGACACGGGGGGACACAGGGGGACAGACGGACACAGGGGGACCCGGGGGGGACAGATGGTCACAGGGGGACACCGGCGGACAGACAGACACGAGGGGACAGAGGGACACGGGGGGACACAGGGGGACAGACGGACACAGGGGGACCCGGGGGGGACAGATGGTCACAGGGGGACACCGGCGGACAGACAGACACGAGGGGACAGAGGGACACGGGGGGACACAGGGGGACAGACGGACACAGGGGGACCCGGGGGGGACAGATGGTCACAGGGGGACACCGGCGGACAGACAGACACGAGGGGACAGAGGGACACGGGGGGACACAGGGGGACAGACGGACACAGGGGGACCCGGGGGGGACAGATGGTCACAGGGGGACACCGGCGGACAGACAGACACGAGGGGACAGAGGGACACGGGGGGACACAGGGGGACAGACGGACACAGGGGGACCCGGGGGGGACAGATGGTCACAGGGGGACACCGGCGGACAGACAGACACGAGGGGACAGAGGGACACGGGGGGACACAGGGGGACAGACGGACACAGGGGGACCCGGGGGGGACAGATGGTCACAGGGGGACACCGGCGGACAGACAGACACGAGGGGACAGAGGGACACGGGGGGACACAGGGGGACAGACGGACACAGGGGGACCCGGGGGGGACAGATGGTCACAGGGGGACACCGGCGGACAGACAGACACGAGGGGACAGAGGGACACGGGGGGACACAGGGGGACAGACGGACACAGGGGGACCCGGGGGGGACAGATGGTCACAGGGGGACACCGGCGGACAGACAGACACGAGGGGACAGAGGGACACGGGGGGACACAGGGGGACAGACGGACACAGGGGGACCCGGGGGGGACAGATGGTCACAGGGGGACACCGGCGGACAGACAGACACGAGGGGACAGAGGGACACGGGGGGACACAGGGGGACAGACGGACACAGGGGGACCCGGGGGGGACAGATGGTCACAGGGGGACACCGGCGGACAGACAGACACGAGGGGACAGAGGGACACGGGGGGACACAGGGGGACAGACGGACACAGGGGGACCCGGGGGGGACAGATGGTCACAGGGGGACACCGGCGGACAGACAGACACGAGGGGACAGAGGGACACGGGGGGACACAGGGGGACAGACGGACACAGGGGGACCCGGGGGGGACAGATGGTCACAGGGGGACACCGGCGGACAGACAGACACGAGGGGACAGAGGGACACGGGGGGACACAGGGGGACAGACGGACACAGGGGGACCCGGGGGGGACAGATGGTCACAGGGGGACACCGGCGGACAGACAGACACGAGGGGACAGAGGGACACGGGGGGACACAGGGGGACAGACGGACACAGGGGGACCCGGGGGGGACAGATGGTCACAGGGGGACACCGGCGGACAGACAGACACGAGGGGACAGAGGGACACGGGGGGACACAGGGGGACAGACGGACACAGGGGGACCCGGGGGGGACAGATGGTCACAGGGGGACACCGGCGGACAGACAGACACGAGGGGACAGAGGGACACGGGGGGACACAGGGGGACAGACGGACACAGGGGGACACGGGGGGGACAGATGGTCACAGGGGGACACCGGCGGACAGACAGACACGAGGGGACAGAGGGGACACTGGGGGACAGATGGACACGGGGGGACACAACGGGTACAGGAATGGGACACGGGGGGACACACAGGGTGACCACGGCCATCCTCCTTGGGACCGGCACCCCCTTGGGCGTCACCCTCAGCTCGTGATGTCACCGCCGCCAGGACAGGGGTGTCACTGCCCCGGACAGGTGACCCCAGATGGGGACACCCCCTGGGACAGGCCGTGGGGCTCGTGTAGGTCACCTGCCCTGCAGCCACCACCCTCCCCGGTGCCACCAGCCCTGCTCTGGAGCTGTCACCCGGGCAGGGCTGTCACCCAGGCAGGGCTGTCACCATCCTGAGCCACCCCAGCCACCCCCTTCCTTGGGACCTGCACCGCTGGGCTGTCCCCACGTGGGGATGTCACCCTCGGAGGGACATCGTCCTTGGAGGGGCTGCCAGCCCAGCTGGGGACATTGTGATGGTCCCACTGTCCTTCACAGGGACATCAGCCTGCAGGGGAATGTCACCCTGCTTGGGGCCACCAGCCCGGCTGGGGACATTGCCACTGGCTGTCCCCACTGTCCTTCATGGGGACACCACCCTGCAGGGGAATGTCACCCTGCTTGGGGCCACCAGCCCGGCTGGGGACATTGCCATTGGCTGTCCCCACTGTCCTCTCTGGGGACACCACCCTGCAGGGGAATGTCACCCTCCACAAGGCCACCAGCCCGGCTGGGGACATTGCCATTGGCTGTCCCCACTGTCCTTCATGGGGACACCACCCTGCAGGGCAATGTCACCCTCCACAAGGCCACCAGCCCAGTTGGGGACATCGCCATCAGCTGTCCCCACTGCCCTCTGTGGGGACACCACCCTGCAGGGCAACATCACCCTGCTTGGGGCCACCAGCCCTGTCCAGGACATTGCCATCAGCTGTCCCCATTGTCCTTCACGGGGACACCACCCTGCAGGGGAACGCCACCCTCCACAAGGCCACCAGCCCGGCTGGGGACATCCCCACCCCTGAGGCCACACCCGGACGCCTCCACCCTGTCCCCTCCTCTCCCCTTCACACTTCCACACTCGACCGTTCCATTCCTTTTTTTTTCCATCCTTCCGCCGCCCTTCCCGTCCCCGCGC